CTTCTGGGTAAATAAATGGAAATACTTCAGAAAGATGGGTCCACAATTCATCCTGAATATTTTAATGATCTATCTTCCTAAAGGTATGGTGTTGGGCCAGATACTTTGTAATATTTTTTTCTGTTTTATTTTTGGAATGTAAATTATTCCTTAGCTCTCATTATGTTTCTTTCATCTCATGAAGCTACTAATGAGTTTCATAACTTACTTGAAAAAACCTACCTTTTCAGTGGAATTATGGCATATTGTCTCTGAAAAGCATACTGAACATAATAACAGTCCCTTTCTTACCTTTTATACTGAGTCTAAAATCCAGGGGGGTGAAATTCCTAAGGTCTCAGACAGTTAATGAAACTCTAGAAATGAGAATATAAATTCCTCTCTGTCCAGCTGATGGATTTCTGTTTGCTTTGCTGTGTTTTTAGCTTTTTGGCTTCTATTCCTCACCACAGTGATTTTAAATCAGTTCATTCCAGTAGATCACAATGTATTGGATACTGTGATCAAAGAAAGAAAACTAAATATTTAAGCAAAAATCTGATCCTGCCTTGTACTTCTAGAAGACTTTTAAAGTGACATATAGTACATTTATTTCATTCACTTCTTATTGGATAGCAGGGATATCCAATTATTGGATAACAGGGATAGAATAGACAAAACATATTCCATTTTCTCCTCCATTTATAAGCGAAACATTTATTTGCCTATATGTAATCGATATTATCTGACCTCATCATAAAAGAGGGAAAGACTGAGGCACATTTTTTGCATGCTGTAGATTTTTACGTGTCTCTGCTACCCATTTCTAACTCCTAAGAGTTAGAAGCTTTGTCTATCGGTTCTGCCCACCACTGATGGGGAGCCAGGTAGCATCAGGACGCATGCCATATATGTGCTTCTTCCTGCTGCTAAGCCTTCTCATTACGGCCTCTGTCCCTTTCACCACGATGAAATCTACTCCCTCACCCTCTCACTGCTTTGTGCTGATCTGTCATCAACGCAAACAGACTGCTTTTAGCTCTGGGTTGAGGAGTTCACTAATGGAGGTACTAACACCTGTGCAGACTTTGCTGTTTGGAGCCATGAAAAGACTGCCTTCCAATCCATGATTAATTTCCTCTGCAAGGAAACTTGTTAGATCCACCGAGTGTCCCTGCTGCTAAATTAACTTCTGATCCTTCTTCGTCCTTCCCAGTGACTCTTGGAAAGTTTGGGATTTCTTCAATGAAAGCAACAACGTGACAATGAAGTCTTGTCACCGTGGGCCACCTCTGAAAACCACATCGAGAGCGGCGCACGGCTTGGCCGATCCACATGCCCATGACTTTCCCGTTTGAAACCTCAGTGCTGAGCAGGCTGTAGCAGCACTCTGCCTGAGTTCTTTATTGAGTATGCTTCTCTTTTGATCTGCTTCTAATTTACCTTGTTCTTTGTGCTGCCTGCTGGTCTATTGGGGATCGATGGATGTTTTTTGTGTCACTGATTGTGTCACTAATTGCCTGACTAGGATTCTGTTGAATGTGGCCAATTTATTTCTCCACAGTATGTTTTTTGCTTTCTCCATTTTACACATTAATTTCTCCAGAGCCTTAGGACTGAGTAAAGGAGCTTGAATACCATTAGGTATTTGGAGAAGCTTGAACTACAGTCAAGACCAATGCTGGTGACTGCATTCCCACCGAAACAGCTCCTGACAGAGCCATCTGATCCACCCTTGGGAAAAAGAAGTGTTTGGTGAAGTTCTCCTGCAGAGCAGAGAACTGACTCACTTCGACATTCCTCTGTAGGACACACAGGAAATCTTATCTCCAAGGTATCCTCTCCTCACCTATTTACTTTGTCCCATGCTTTTCCCAAAACTCCTAGCAGCCTCCTAAAACTAGTGCTTGCTCTGTAACGCTCATGCTATTCCCCTGTACCCAGTGATCACCTCCATTAATAATGGATGTCAGTTCATTTACAAATTAATCACATCAGATTGAGAAATACACTAAGATAAAATCTGATGGCTTCCACATTTCCTTGATGAAATATTCATGACATGAATGTTTCACCTTTATAAATCATGGTTACTCTATTGATTTTTTCTTTCACATTTTCCAAATGAGCTCATAAATTTTTTTAAATGTGGATCAGAGAAAACAAAATGAATGAATAGATAGATGTACTTTTCAATTACATGCATTTCTGGTTTTATTGCTGCCCTCAGCTTATATTAGACGAGGTACCACCTAGAAAAGGAAATCTCCCAAGCTTAATAAATGTGGAGGTTGATTTCTGAATAGAAAAATTATCTATTGTGATAATTTAATTTAAACTGAAAGATTCATTTAAATTTGAAAAATTGGTTGCTTAGATCTTAACAGTAAGAGCTACTACTATATTTACAGATGTATGTGCTTTCTGAATTGTTGGCGTATGTGTTTTCTTTCTTGGCTTTCTTCTTAATTCTTGTTGGAGGTGACACATATGAGATAGTGGGAAACGAAAGTGCTTCTGCTATATATTGCTGCATAGTAAACCACCTCACAACTCAGTGGTTTAAAACCATGAGTTAAATAGGTCCAGCTGAGTGGTTCTGTTTATGTGAGGTAGGCTTGGGTCCCTCACATATATTTTCTCATGTGTATGGTACTTAGTGCTTCTCAAGCTGGCCTTTCCACCTGACCAACTACTCAGGCATGATGGCCTCTCCCATGATGGCCTGAGTTTTATGCCAGTTGGACTGGCTTCCGAAGGCGAGGAAGTGGGATCTGTCTTCTTGGGTCTGGCCTCAGAAGCCTAAAGAATCACTTTCACCAGATTCTCTTGGTCATACAAGTCAGACTGCCTATCCATAGTTAAAAGGAGGGGAAATATACTCTTCCCTATGATGGGTAGTAGAATGAATAAACAGGGAAGAGGAAACTCTGGTGGCCATCCTTGGAGATTACCATAGAAAATATACTATACTATTCCTTTTACTTTTTCTTCTTTCTTTCTCCTCTCTCTCTCTCTCTCTCTCTCTCTCTCTGTAATCAAATTAAGGACCTTGTACTTACCAGGCAGGTGTAGCAACACCGAGCTATACCCCTGGTCCTATTATACTATTCTTATAGGTACTTGCAGCCAATATTATTTGCCTTTTACTAAATCATAAGGATAGTTTTGTTAAAAAACCTAATTGTCCAAGAATAAAAGGCATTGACACATGATTGAAATAAAGTGTGGTTCAAAGCAGCTTGCATTTATACATATTCTTTGTTGGTTACCTGAAAAATAACTCAAGTAGTTGGTTATGTATAGTTTACAGATAACGAATGGGATTAAAAGAGGTAGAAAGGCCAGTGGACCTGGTATGCATGTACACGTGTGCATGTGAGAGTGTGTGTGCCTCTGTATGTGAGAGTGTGTGTTTCTGTGTGTGTGAGTGTGTGTGCACTCTCCAGAAAGTCTCAAGTAGTGCACGTGAGACTATGTTACTAGTTGGGAGCCAGAACCTTGCTTTGTTCTTGCATCCAGGAGAATTATTATTATTATTTAGTTATGTGATAACACCTCAGTGTGCAACTTCCAATTATGTTTTTGCAAAACATGAGCCATTTTAGGATCTGATTGGAGGATTGAAAGTGTTGACAACTATAAGTAAGGAAAGTTGGGCTTTAGTGACTGCCAGGCCTTCTTTCCATATCATTAAAGCACTGAGAAGCTAATTTCCTCATCTCTGTACAGATGTGCAAAGCTCTTCTTTGTCTTCCCTGCCCCTCACCATCAACAATCCTCTTGTAAACTTGTTCTCACTCAGGTGGAAATGGTCGATAAAGTGGAATATGTTGACTCTGTAGAATCGCCATTATTCTATCACAAGACCAGGTTTATGATACAAATACATCTCTTTTTGTTTGGGCATAATTAAGCAAGTCAAAAAAGCAAAATTGTGCCTCTAGAAGACAAATCCCACTTCTAGTCATTTTGCTCTTCCCATCCTCACCGTCTTTCACTGAGCTCTCAGAAAATGCAAAGAAATGGCGACAACATAAGTAAAACATAATTAGAAAAGCAATCTGTTGGAAAAAGAAACGCTAATGCTCTGCCGAGTGAAGCAGTGCACCATGTAGAGAATTCGGATACGATCCTTTGTTTTGCAGGCTCTGTGCCATGGTTCCTCACCATTAGCCTTGATATTGGAAGAAAGCAATTTCAATTTTTTTGACCTCCAAACTAACTGACTCTCTATTCTACCAAATAATGCTGCTTAGAGCAGTTTTTAGAACGTAATAATGTAATGCTTTGAAATGAATTGCAAGGAAGCAGTTGCATGCATTCTCCCATGAGTTCCTTATTTTTGTTCATAAATGACATTCTTTGATATTTCGGATGAGGAAGAAGTTAGGCATCATGAATAAATCAGTAGTGACTGATGATTGGATTGTGTGCTGTCGCCTTATTCTTTCTGGCCTTGATAAGCACAGTGTGTGGCTGACATGAAGAGGAAATGTGTCCCGGAGCCCAGTACCGTGAATACGGTGACTGTGAGGACTAGCAGGATGGGCGTAGCCATTCGGACCCTGGGTGGTGAGTGGGATGGTCCAGATGTGAACTGTGATATCTGAAGAGCCTGGGAGGATGTGAGCAGACGTCCAAGAGCAGCCACAGAAAGTATGTCGCTGTGATTTGAGAGAACTCATGATTTCATTTTGCTGACAGTAAATCCAGTTCAGGCACTGTGGCTGGCAATTCACACAGATTACTTTGCTTAATCTTTGTGACAACTTGATGGGGTGAATATTATTACGATACTTGTATTAAAAACAATGTTTTTAAAATAAGGCTGAAGAAGCAAAGTAATGTGCCCAAGGTCAACAGATAAGAAAACAGAGGAGAGATTTGATTTGAACCTAAAAAATACAACTGTTGAATCCAACCCTATTTTTAGGTATGTTTGTATACAGGAAACATCATTGTTTCGAAGTCATTCTGAACTTCACAATGCACAACCACGTAACCTCCACCGTTCTTGTGCTGTCAAACAGCTTCAACACCAGGTTGGGGAATTAGCTCAGTGGTGCCGCCGCCTGCCTCGCATGCACAAGGTCCTGAGTTTGATCCCCCTTATCCAAAAAAACAAAAAACAGCTTCATCACCTCTACAAATTCTCTTCTGCCTGTTTATATCACCCCCACCCCTTATCCCCAACCCCCTGCAACCTCTAATCTACCCCTTTCCTTTACAGATTTCACTTTTGCAAAATAGCATATAGATCAAATCACATAGCATGTAGTCTTTTGAGTCTAGCTTCTTTCTTCTAGCATAATTCACTTAGGCTCCTTCGTGTTGTAGGACCAATCAGTGTAACTGATACCTTTTTATTGCCAAGTAATATTCCATTCTGTGGATACAACACAGTAGGTTTATCCTTTCACCCATAAAGGTACATTTGAGTTGTTTCTACCTTTTTTTAGATCCCAATTGCTTAACTGTGATGAAATACTGCTTTCACTCCACCAGAAATCTTTCGTGATTATCATAGTCAGTGTCCTCAATGACATCTTTGCCTTTTACTCTCTTTTGAGTTCTCTAAGAACCTTTGCCTAGAGCCAGAAAGAAATACCGTTTCTTCCCTGGCTCAGCTAGAATTGCACAGTGCCAAGTTTTCTCTTACATGGTAATGCTGCTATATTTTCACTACAACATTCAGGCACTGCCCACCACCTCCCAAGTGCTTACACCTTTACAAAATGAATGAAGGCATGAATAGCAAATTAAAAATCCAAATAAATCTTCTAACACAAGGAGTAAATAGTAGTAAAGTCAGGATTCATAATTGTGTTGGTATAGAAACGTACAGAATTGATAAATGACATAACACACTGAGAAACAGAAACATACAGTTCTAGCATTCGGGAGTTTGATTTCCAACACCGAGTCAGTACCATTCATTGAAAGGTAAAAAAAAGAAAATGTGATGATTATCGATCTGTTCTCACAACAGCAAATAACTACCTTGACTACATGTTTTCCCAGTTTTAAACATTTTTCCTATTTAATTAACTGATCATTTAATTGAATTGAACAAACCAGCCATAGCTTTGACAACACCGATGTTTTTCTGAAAATTAATTTTTTTATGAAACCACAGTTTCAGGATATTTCTAGTCTAGAAAGTGGAATTCAGGTTTTCAAAACCTGTTTGCATTTAGCAAGACAATTTACTCACTGCATTCAATCCCTTGTACTCAGAACACTTTTGACTAAATTCACCTTCATAACATGGTTTTCTTTGCTTTTGACAGCCATCCTGAGATGAGCAGTAGCAGAACAGGGTGCAGAGAATGCGCAGGTCTGATTCCATTCTGTGTTCTGCCTCTTGCGCATCATGGGACTTCTGAATAGGTTCAAAATTGCCCTGAGTTTTCTTTCTTTGTCTGTCAGATGAGGATAACAAGCTCCATCTTTCTGTTCGGGGTCTGGGGAGAGGGCTGTGTACAGGAACTCTCAGTTTGCCATGCAGTGCCCAAGTAGGGGTGCACCTGTCCAGGGCCACCCAAGAGTGACTGCAAGGATGTTCTGGGCTTGACACCATTTCTCCCACCACCGCATCCACCCATGCTGTCATCTGAGGATGGTGAGGACTCCGGGCTCATCAACATGGGAAAGGCTCTCTCTGAGAGCCCAGAGTCCTCAGCCTTAGTCTCCCTAAATCCTTGCCTGGGTGGCCCGTGTCTTTCCATTGTTAGCACTTTGCTCTTAATTTTCAAAAGTATGTTTTGAGATAATCTGCATGCCTCTGGTCGATTAGGAGAAAAATCCTATATAATTTACAAAAAACAGAAAGAGAAAAAAACTAAAAAAAAAAAAAAAACTAGACATGTCAAGACCTCGTCTTTGTAAAACTTACAATTCTTAAATAATTCTTAGGGGCTGTGTTGCATCCTCTTCACTCTCATATTTAGATTTCTGGAAGTTCTTGTTGGGAAATTCCAAGTGATACCTAAGTAAACATGAGGAAACAAGGGTAAGAAGGACTGTGGTTATGAGTGAACCGATAGATGCTTTAGAAAGTATTTTCATTTTATTTCATAATTAAATAATTTCACATGTCCATATTAAAATAATGCATATTAAAGGGAGAATAACGCAGTGATATTTATACATATAGAATGAATACAAATTGAAAGCACAGCTAATTTCCTACTGCTGTCTTGTCTACTGGTTACTTTACAGAGTCTTCCCACCATATGAGGTTTTTGTGAGATGCTTAAAAATGTGCTTTGCTCAGTTGCAGGTAATCCACGGTGTGGAGAATGGTAGATATCAATTCATCTAACTCTGCTCTAATTTCCTCGCTCTGTGCCTTGTTGTACGGCTGTCTTATGGCTTGGATTCTACGAGTGCTTGGCTTCCACAGTGCCGGTCCACCCATGCAAGCCCTGACGGGTATGAGAGAGGTGTGAGACTTCTGTTGTGGGCAGAACCTTGAAAGCATTTAGCCTTTCAGCAGCGGCAGCAGCAGAAGCTGGAGTCCTAGTAGCTAGTCTGTTATTTGGTGGGGATACAGAGTGTGATGGGATGGCCATGTTGGTGGATAGGCATAGTGTGGTTTTGGAGCCAGTTGTCTGGACAGGAGCTTTTGAGTCTCTCCAATGGTGACAGGAGCATAGCCCAAAACCCACAACTGCGGCAACTGCTTCCTGGTTCCTCCCCTTCCTGATTTAACCCCTGTATTCTTTATTGTGGGCAAACCAGCCATTTCTTGGCTAGGTAAGTTCTGCAGCATTGCTTTCAGATTTATTTGGGGAGCCTTTGCCTGGAGACTGCTTTTCAAGAGCTTCCATGTTTTTTTTAAAGCAACTGAGTCAGTGGATTAAACTGTTCCTGTAATTGAACCCTAGCATGTACAATAATATATATAACACATCACTATAATTGTTCTCTCATTTTTGTCTTTCTGATTAAACTGTTCCTGTAATTGAACCCTAGCATGTACAATAATATATATATAACACATCACTATAATTGTTCTCTCATTTTTATGTCTTTCTGATTTCTGTATTCAAATTGTTGGCTTTCTCCTCTGGAGCCCTAGAATCTATCACAAGGGCATAGACTAACTTATGTATCCAGGGTGAAGAGACTTACATAATCTTTATTTAATAAACTCACTTGATTTCACAAATGCTGTCCTCACACACAGTGCTTCTTACAGTCTCTGCTGTGTTCATCATGACCTCAAGCCAGAACACACTGAAACTTTGAGGAACTGAACTCATTATCCATGGGTCCTTTCTCCGTAAGATTTCAACCCAAATTATATAAGCAAGCATATTGAATGAGTTCTAAAACCAAATTCATTCTCTGTGCCTTTATACTTTCCAACTCTGCATTGGCAAAACCTTGTCTACTACTTTTTCATGTCCTTTTCCTTCTAAATGTACCCAAATACATTGGTTTGAGAGGATGTGCATTCCAAATTGCTATTAATCCAGAAAAGTTACAGAGATGTAAAATTATGTATAAAACAGAATGTGATATGCACAGTAACCTTGTATGGGGAAGAATTTGTGCTCAATGGAGAAAATTAGAGATAACACTAATATGTAAGTAACAGACTTGGAGAAGTCTAATTATAATATCCAAAGTTAGGCCAGGGATTTAGCTCAGTGGTGCCTCCGCCTGCGTCACAAACACAAGGTCTTGAGTTCAATCCCTGGTACCAAAAAATGAACAAACAAAAACTAAACAAAACAAATACATACAGAAGTTAATAAGGAATTTAAATATAATGTGTATAAGAAGCTCTTGCACACCAACAAAAGAAAGATAAGAGTCACAGTGGGAAGTATTTCAAAGATATAAACAAGTAATTCACACACACAAAAAGAAACAAAAGAGGCTAACAGACACATCAAAGTTAATCAAATTCATCAAAAATTAGGTCTGTTCAACTTACCACTGCAGAGAATCCTAAGCATTGGGGGCAGTGGGCATAGGGAACGATCTGTTCTATACTCCTGGTGGGAGGCAGCCTGGCAGAGACTGTATGCAAACCACTGTAGTCAGATGAACCAAATGCCACACAGTGTGCCTTAGGAACAAGCAACTCAGCTCCTGGCCGCATATAATAGAGGAAAAGCAGCTATACATACATGGGCATTTATGTGAGGCATGTTTTGAACTGGAGAATTGGAGAAAATCAAGTTATCCAGTTGGGAGACTGGGTAAGTGAAACACAGCAGATTCCTATGGGGCACTTAGAAGTGATCAAGTGAAGATAGACGTGGCAATGTGGATCTTTTTTAAATAGTGCTGAGTGGATCAAGGATGTAACAATAAGGTTCAGAGCAAAATTCCGTTTGTATCCATTAAAATACAAACCACATACTTTACATCCTGTATGACTGTATGAGTAAGAGAATGTATACTAAACGTGCACCAGTGGCTGCCTTTTTGCTGGTAAGGCAGAAAAGGGGAAGAAGGCTCGGGACAGCAGAGAAAGAAGGAAGAAAAGGTGGAAAGGAAGAAGGGAAGGAAAGCGAATGGGATTTTGTGCAGATTGGGGTGACACTGTGGTCCCATGTCTTCAGTTCTCCCTAGGAAAATCAGAAGAAAACTACCCTCAGAGAATGCAGAGAGTTTAGGTTTCAGATCTTTGTCCGTTCCTCAGGGTACAGCCCTTAGCCATTTTCCTCTAAATTATCTCCTAATCCAGAAGCTCACCTGGGTCAGCTCACCTTCAGCGGGGGGATGAAGGAGGCGGAGACCTTCTTCTCCTTCACTGTCTCTCTTTAACATTTCTCTCTGGGACGCTTTCTACCCTTCCCTTCCTTCAGTCCTGCGAGGGCTGAGTCCGGTGGAACAGAGGAGGGGACAGAAAATGGCTGCTGAATTTGCTGAGCTTGGTGTGTTTTCCTTTGGCAGAGCAGCCCTGGAATGGGCCCTGGAAAATTAGAGAGGGATCATGGTTTGGGGGCTGGAAATCACTTTGGTGTTTCACCTTTTGCCATGATGAACACTTCCTGTCACCCTCTTATCTTGGTTGGGATGAAAAGCAGGGTACCCTTGCAGAAAAAGGGGGTAGTCCAGCACTTGGAGGGTCACCCAAAATGTTGTTTTCAAAGTAAACCTCACGGCACATTCTCAGACTAAGTTTATTTAGAACTCTGCAGCTATCAATAACAGAGACAATTAAATTAGCTGGGCCAAAAGCCCATTCGAACTCTATTATAAAATTAAGGTTTGTAGAAAGTGCCCCTCGCTAGCCCTCCTTCCCGCTTGAAATTGATGGAGATGCTTCTCGGTTTGCTAAAATTCAGAAAGGATTAATAGCTTTCGCTTTGGAGAATATAACCCAGAAAGAGTGCATGGAGTTTAAAATACTTCACCCATGTAAATGAGGGCTGGTTTCATTGCTTTATTTTAGATAGTGTAGCTTTTTGCAGAATCAACAGAGCAACTTGGGCGTGGGGAGGTAACTGTGCACAGAGAAACACGTTCGGCCGGTGCCACAAAGGTGTATAATTTGCTGTGTCAAATCTCAGCATAAACACTGGGTTTCTTCATTAACGGATCAAATACAGAGTTCAAATGGAACTGCAGCGATCTTTTGTGCGGGGAAATAAGGGATGGCAGCAGCTATCTCGGGGTTTTAGAAGCCACTCCGAGCGCAGGAGTGAGCTCGCCGTTGTCGCCGTCGGCTTCAGGTCAGCCAGGCCTCCTCCCCATGGGGCCTCCACTTCGTTAGACCTCTTCTCCGACTCAGAGGAGAACATGTGTCCCGCGGGTCCAGTAATCCTCAGTGTAGCTTAGAAAGGGCTCTCCGGCCTGGGGTGTAACCTCGGGTGGATGGCGCGCGTGCTCCTGCGGATGCCCTCCCTGCCGCCTTTCCTACCTTTCCCTCTTTTCTTCCTGCCCTTCCTCCTTTCCTCCCCTCTCCCTCCCTCTTTCTCCTTCCCTCCCTCCCTTCCGTCTCTTTGTCTCTCCTTTATCCCTTCCTTTCCTCTCTTTGTTTCTTTTCAATTAATGTAGCTGCTTGTTTGCAGCCATCTTCTTTTAGTGGCAATTCAAATATCCAATGAATTAATGAAATGTTTATCTCCAACCTGTCTCTATTTTTAATGCTAAATTAGCATTTCCACTTCTTTCTTGGAATCTCTACCCAGCCATCTAATATTTAGCGGCTTCAGTCCAAGTACCAGTACCCTAAAACACCACCCCTCTTTGGTTTTCTCTCTCATTTATTTTCTACCAACCCACACTGCCCTTGTGGAGCAATGGGAGATCACGTGGCCCTCTGCTTGTCTTGGCCTTTCTCAAGGAGCCCATCCTCTCGCTCAGGTACAGTTGGGCAGCCTGGGTTGACAGTTTCCTCCACCACTCTGACCTTGTCAAGTGACATCAAATCCCTAGCCTGATTTTGCTCATCTGTAAAATCACCACTGTAAGGATGCCTCCCTCACAACAATTTGGAAAAAGAAAAGTTGCCCCATGGAAAGCACATCGTGCGATGCCCGGCGTGTACCAATAACATGCACGGGAGCTGGTGTCAAATGTCTCATTCATTCTGTTCCTGTGTCCGCTCTTTCAGGTTTTCGTCTTCATATCAGTAAGTAGCTTCCTGTCAGGCCTCTGTCCCCCACACAAATTCCAAGCTCACCCATTAGCTGCCTTGCTGCCCGTGTTATCTTTCTACATGCTGAACAGAGCAACATCGTTCCAGAGGCTGCAGCACTGCGTGCGTGCCATAGCTTCACACAGAACAGGACTTTTATAAAGGCACACAAGGCACTTCACAGGGGCCCCAGTCACTACCAGCGTCTTCCCCCCTTTGGCCCCACTCCCACCAAACACAAACGTAGGATCCCAGCACAGACTCTCAGGAGACCACACCCTTCTCGGGGTTCCTAAAGCCCTCTGCACCTGTCCCTGTAGCCCTAAGCATGCACGGTGAGATTCTGTCTCCCAAGTGGCTGCTGTGACAGGTTCTCACAGGACAGAAAAGGGGGCAGTTATTTTCCAATTCAACCACCCTCTTCTCCTGCCGTCCTGTTCTGCCTCCGTGGACCCCCGTGTCTGTTCCTCTCGGTGGTCTTCCAGTCTCGTCCACATCTGTCGCGTGATCCCAATTCCCCAACTCATCATCAGTTACACTCGAACGTGGTCCATTCTAGCGTTCCCCTATAGCACTCAAAGATGAAACTGTTCACTAACGGTCAAGGGAATTCGAAAAGTCACAATCAACTCTAAGTGACGTGTGACTCGATGTACCTATATCCCTGTCCTGTTCTCAGAGATGTAAATAGTTAGCGATGGCTCTTTAATAAGAAGCAGGTCCGCTGTATATTGCTTCAACTTTCCAGAGCATTTCTGTACACATTTCATCTTCTCAACCACTCTCTGTGGTATAAAGGGCAAATATGATTATCTCTATTTTTCTGATGAAGAAATCGAGGCTCAGGGAGGTTAAATGATTTTTCAAGGTTACAGAGCTAGTGAATAGCAAATCCAAGAAAGCACATCATCCGACTCATAATGTCCTATTCTTTCCATATATTATCTCATACTGGAAATTATGTATTTCTTCCGCTGTCTTTGAGGCAGTCACATGAATTGTATGTTAGCAATGATTTTGTTAACGATTTCAGAGACTCTTGTAACAAATATTTACATATTACTAAACTGCATTTCTGTTTCATGATAATAAAAATAAATGCCCATTATAACAAATGTGGGAAAGGGATGTCATTAAGCATGCACCTACCAACAGACACTATTCATATTTTTGTTAATTTTATCCTAGTTTTTTATCCACGCTTGATTCATCTGATGTTTTGTTTTAATAATTATGACTATATTTGGTTTTCAATATTTTATTCTGCTTTTTCATGGATTTCATCATGAACATCCATGTTTTGAGAAACAGGAGCACCAATATAATTAACATATAAGACTATTCCATTTGAGCTGGATGTAGTGTCTCATGCCTGTAGTAATCCCATCATTCAGGAGGCTGAGGCAGGAAGATATCCTTGATTTTGAGGCCAGCATGTGCTACATAGTGAGTTCAAGCACAGCCTGAACTACACAGCAAAACCTTGTGTCAATAAATAAATAAATAATATTCAATTTTATTGCTGTATCAGAATTTAGTCAAATAACTCATTATTTTTATTTTTTACAGTTTTTACTATTTTTTATTATTCCTCATGACACCGAATACCACATCCCCAGATAAGGATTACAAATTAAGTATACTTTATTATAACTGTATGGCAGGGCCACACAGTTCACATTCGAAGGCACTGAGAATAACTGTACTATTCAGAGCACTTTTGAACAAAAGCAACATGGCTTCCTAGGCAGGGTGAGTCAAACAGGTGGCAGCTCTCACTGAGATCGACTCACTAAGAGGCCAGTGTCTTCTTCCAACAGCCTTACACTCACCAGTGGGCTTCTGGGAGGACCGGGAAGATCTGCTCAGATTTCAGTTTAGAGTCCCACACCCATCTTCCAAAACGCTGGGTCGCCTGTGTCCCTGGCAGTACATTTTGGCTTTCTAAATAGTAGTAAAAAGAGTTATATTGAGTTAAGTGCTCTGTGTCTCTTCCATGATTCCTCCCAGAACAGAGACACCGTATTCCAATGTCTCAGACAGCCCCACAGAGGGGACAGGCAGTAAGTCAAGGAATATTCAACCGAAGGGACCTTACAGGGCACGTAGGGCAAGAAACTGAAAGCATATGGCTCTGAAAGTAGGCTGCTTGTGTTTGGATCCTAGGTTTTTGACTTGAAACAAATTGATTAATTTCCATGCACCTCAGTAATCTGCAAAATTTTGATATAGTGTACTTTAATACTATTTTGAGAATGAAAAGCAATTTATGGAAAGCACATAGAACAGTGCCTGATTTTTCCTTAACGTGGAATGAATATTAGTTATTATTGGTTTTATCACTCCATTTATGGAACAGAGAAGAGGCTCAGAATTAATAACCTCAATCCAACTATGCCAAACTTGTAAGAAATGCAGTGACCATCTACCTTATAGACAGTTTTAGCTGGGAATAGGAGAAAATCATTGTAGTATAGCTTAGTGAAGTTTTGCTTTCTGTTTTGTAAACTTGCTATCTTCAGTGGATACTTATTAAGTGTCTGCTATGTATCAGGTACTACTCTTTCAACAAGGGAGCATAAGCTGAGCTGCTTTGTTTTCCTAGACTGCTTGCTGTGCATCCTCTGAGCCACTCCTAAGGCTTTTTGGATTGAGAAATCATATTGAAAGGGCTTATGACATAGAGGGGTTCTTCAGTAACCCAGCTTTAATCCCACAGTCTTTAACTCTGGCTCTTTCACCTCATTTTTCCCTGGTTTTGGTCTGAGCAATCATCTATCAACTTGGATCCCTTCTTTTAGTTTTCTGTTAGGTCCTCCATCTATCTGGGTCCCACCTACCTTAAAAAGTAATTCTGACACTAGTTCACAGCTGGCACTGCTTAGACCTCTAGCTTCCTGGTTCTCCAGTTCTTGTATGCAGAATGGACACTCCCAGACTCACTGCCTAAAGTTTGGAATAACACTAAAACAAAGTAATAGTGAGCGGTTAGGAAGCGGGTGTATAAAGGGAAGATGGGAAGGAATTGGAAGTCCTACTTGGCATGCTAGACAACAATAAGCATAAGTATCTCTCAGGACACTCCTGATGGTTAGTGCTTGGCTCAAGTCTCAAGTACCTACAATTCTAAGAATATAATCAAATTAAGGGAGGCGGTCCTTTCTAAGGCTGTGAGCAGGCCAATTTACCTCCAGAGTGATGTGGTCTGAGAAATATCAGTGTCCATAAATATGAACGTGGAAATCCTTTATATTCATTTGAAGCCTTATTTAGCTTTCCTAAACCTCAGATTCTTCAACTGTGAAATTGGGATCTAACTCATAGGACTTGCGTGACATTACTACTTTTTTTTTTTTGCATGTGATTCATTTAGAACTTATTAAATATCCAATTAAAGTTAACTACAAATATTATATTTTATTTGTCTTAGTGTAATAGGTTGTCTTCGTGAATCCCAAATAATGGACGGGACTCTGGAGGGAAAAATGTAGTTAAAAGAATCACCTGCTGTGAGGGACATCCATCTGTTGAGTTTTTGCTTCCTAAGCTGTGGGCAGGTAGACACTGCCATAGTTAACTTTTAAACAAGGAAAACATAAGCAGACATATAAATAAATAAATGAAGAGAATTAAAATGCTGGACCAAACCAGGGAGTCTGATTAGTAGCAGCTCCAGGCGGAGGTCGGCCTTTCAACCTGCATGCTGCTAGGAAACGCGTGTTGGCTGGCCGTGAATTAAAACATCAAGAAAGAGGCAGAGCTCAAACAGGCAGTGCCTGGTGGAGATGCGCTCGAAACCTAACATACATAAATAAATAAGAGTATCTCACTTTAAGGAGTGAAATAAATGGCACAATCTGTCAAGCAAGATAGAAATTCACTTTCTGCTTACTTGGAATGCAAATAGGAGAGATCAGCGTGTCAGCCAGGGCTCCTGTTTACTATGGGAGGAGGCTTGGGAGGACAGGGGCTCTTATCTGGGTGTTTATTTCTTATGCAGTTTTGTTTTAGGAGAAGGTAGGGATTCAAAACCAACACTTTGATAATATATACGAGATAACAGGCCACCCACTGATTCAATGAACTATGGATTTAAAATAACCAGAGTTACAGAGATTCAAAACAAACTGTAACTTTGGTACAAGTTATGATGAGAGAAACAGGAAACTGGTACTCACAGAAACCTTTCTGAGCCCGGATGATCAGACTGCAGGCTGAGATTTCAAGGTCCGCTCTGCAGAGGTATGGTAGAATTGGTGGACAGAAAGGCAGACTCCTCTGCAGCCATTGAGAACCTAGAGAATGACTCAGAAGACAGATTCCGGGGCCACTGCACCTCTTTTAGGTAAATCTGCCATGAAGGTCAGCTTTCTGACTTACGTGACAGCTCCATGCCAAGCCCTAGGCCATCTGCTTTTTTTTACAAGATCAGATACCTTCATGACTGTGTTTACTGCAGAAACAACAGAACCAATGGAAGCTCAGCCCTACAAGAGTCAGGTTCTGACTTGGGCGTCTCACGTGTACACCTCTGACTGCCTGTTTCCAAACCACACCAGGACCTCCAGCTACAAGGGAGTCTGGGAATCCTATAGATTAGCCCCACAGGAAGCCACATTAGGACACGAAAGAATATATAGGTAGGGAAGCAATCCACTGGATGTTCCATTACCATTCCAGGTAGAGCAAAGAACAAGAACAAAGACAAGAAGTCAGGAAATCACATATTATCTCGGTGATGAGAAAAAACTCTTTCGTGGCTTGAAGGTGGAACTGATTGGGGAACTGTGGGAGAAGTCATTCTAGAGAGTCTTGTCAGATTATGAAGGCAACTGTATAACCTTCTGAGGACTTTGGATTTTGACTAGCAGAGGGTCGAGGTATAGAACTCAGTGGTGGCAGGCTTGCCTGGCATGTGTGAAATCCTGGGTTCAACCCTTACCACTGCAGAGGGTGAGCGGGGTGCACATATTAACTAGGGGACTCATAGTTTGAGAACTATCTGACACTTGAAGTAATACTGTGAGCACAGTTTTTGTCACTACTGCACACTGTTATTTAGTAGTTGCAAATGTGTATCTGGAGTTCAGAGGAGCAGTTTGAGATGGATTCGAGCTTGTAGAATCATTGATCTGTATTTGTTTGCTTGGAGTCATAGAAGTGGACCTAAGCCTTCAAGGAGAGAGAAGCACTGTGGAACCTAAAACTAATGTAGAAGAAAGGGAATCACCAAGAGAGACCATAGGAGGACTCAAAGAATAGTCTTTGGAAGGCACTGAAAAAGGAAGTTTCAATTTTTTTAAAATCACTTACAACATAAAAAGTCAAAAGGTGAGACTGCCAATAGCCATTGTATTGGCCTTGAGAATCTCCATGTTCTGCAGTTGTACACTCAACTAGAGTTGCTAGAGCAGAAGTTGTCCTGTGCTGCCCTGACTTGACTAGTAACTGGGATGTAAATAAATGGAGATAGCAAACCATAGCAGTGGCTCTCACAAGGGATTACTTTTCCCCCCAGGGGACAGCTGTCAGTGCCTAGAAATACTTTGGGTTGA